CCCCCCTTAAAAAAAAAAAAAAAAAAAAAAGAGAGCACTTCAGAAAAATAGAAAAGTCATGAAACAAGACGCATCACCTGCACCTGCACCTTCCTCCTTTTTCGTGTTCTCTCCCTCTTTTTTGTTGTTCATAAAATTTTTTTTTTTTTTTTTTTTTTTGTATTTTATTTCCTCTCAATCCTATGTTTATGCGAACACGTATGCATGTCTGCTTTCTTTCTTTTTTTTTTTTTTTTCTTTTTTTCCCCCAATTAATACCAGAGATGCGGCCGCTTTTTTTATTTCTCTCTCACTCTCTCTGTGTGTGTGTGTGTGTGTAATGGATGGTCGGATGTCATCACGGCGGTAATATTGTCTACGTCATTTATGATGCATTTTTTTTTTTTTTCTTTTTCTCTCTCTCTCTCTCTCTTTTACCAACAGTCGGATGTCTACTCCGTAGCGGATGGGTGGCAGGCAGTTATCTTTCCCTCTATTAAGAGTACTGGGCCCTGGCACCATTGTTCAAGTGGCCGGCTGCGCCCAGGGAGAGAGATGTCTACGTCATACCTGCGCCGGCGATCGCATGGCCCCCGCGGCCTCTTTGAGAAGCGATCGCGTGCCGCGGATGGTGGCGGTGGCGGTGGCGCAGCAGAAAAATACACTACAGACCACACGGGCATGTGCACAACTCTCCTTCTCAACCCTACCGTGTTTTTCTCCCTCCCTCCCTCCCTTTTTTTTTTTTTTTTGTTTGGCATGTCCGGTTGTTTTTTCACCCTTTTTCTTTATTCTCCTTTCCGCCCACCCCTCTTCCCGTGCAGTTTTAGTGATGCCGAGCGGCGACAAAAAAATCGACACCAGAAACGGTGACGGCCACGACGACAACAGAAGCGACTACTGCGATGACGACTACGTGCCACCTGCGCAGCGTGGGGTGTTGTTTTTCTCGACCATCCCGCGCGACATGCGACCACAGGAGGTGCGCATGCACTTTAATGAGTTTGGTAAGATTCTGCGACAGAAATTTACGCCTTTTCCAAAGAAGGAGCGACGCCCTGGCGGCACGTTGCTTCCGCTGCAGTTTATGAATGGATACTTGGAGTTTGCACACGCCGAGGACGCGCGACGGGCGGCGGCGGCGATGAACGGGACGCCTGTCGCATGCAAGCGACGCCGCAAGTGCCACGGCCAGCTGTGGACAGTGAAGTTCCTTGACGACTTCACGTGGGACACGTTGCTTGAGCAGAAGGAGGAGACACGGCGCACACGGCGGCAGCGTGAGGCGGAGGCACGCAGCGCGGAGCGCGCCATCAACGAAGCGTACCGCGCTGCCGTCCTGGGGGCGATGCGGCGCAAACACACACGCGGCGAAGGAGGAGCCTCACCGAAGGAACCGAATGAATGCCGCAGTCCTAAGAAGACAGAGCGGCGAGAGCAAAATGTCACTGGGAGGATGTTACGTGATGTTTCTGTTTCTTCTGATTCCGTTGGTGCTGCTGCTGTGACTCCTCTTGAGGTGGTGAAGAAGAAGCGGAGGAAAGAATGATGTTTTTGATGCCACGTTGAACTTATCTTTCTTTCTCTCTCTCTCTCTCTGTGTGTGTGTGTGTGTAGCGTTGACGCCATCCTATTCTTGTGCCGTATCTCGTTTTTCCCACCGCTGCTGCTTCAGAGGGGAACGGAGCACACGCCCACACGGCGGAGGCGCGGAACATCAATAAAGAGACGTGAAGGATGAGGAGGAGGTCATTTTGAGCCCGTTAAGATTGACGCGTGTGATTTATTTATTTATTTATTTTCTTCTTTGCTTATTGGCTGTTGTTGTTGTTGCTGCTGCTGCTTGGGAGTGCGGCTTTGCTTTCTGTTTTTCTGAAAGTTACACACACACACACACACACACAAAAATAAAGAAGAAGTAGAGAGCCACGTTTCGAATTCACCAGCGCGGTTTTTTATTGCTGCGACCCCGGATATTCTCCTACGCCTACCCCAAATTCTCAGCCAGTTGCTCGACACAGTTATTCATGTCAAAAGCCGCGACGACGTCTGCTGGCGAGAAGAATAAGAAGGGGGCGGCACCTTCTGCCTCGGATGCCGCAACAGTCGACCTCAAGTCATTGCAGGAGCCGGAATTTTGGAAGGCACGTGATGCGTTGTTCGATGAATTGCTGGCAGCGCAGGAGGCGAAGTACAACTCCATGCAGGCACCCATCACCATCACACTACCCGACGGCAAACAACTACCCGCCACAAGCTGGCTGACGACCCCAATAGACATTGCGAAACGACTGTCCAACTCCCAGGCCGAACGGGTGATTGTTGCACGCGTGAATGACGAGTTGTGGGACCTCACCCGCGTCTTTGAGGGCGATGCCACACTTGAACTTCTCGACTGGGACGATCCTGAGGCACGACATGTCTTCTGGCACAGCTCCTCCCACGTGCTCGGCTACGCTCTCGAGCGTGTCTTCCACACACGTCTTTCGGTTGGACCGGCGCTGGAGGAAGGGGGTTTCTTTTACGAGGGCGACACGGGCCGGCCGCTGTCGGAGACGGATTACAAGTCAATTGAGATCGCCATGCAGGAACTTGTAAAGATGAAGATGCCGTACCAGCGCCTGACGGTCTCAAAGGCCGACGCACTACGACTTTTTGGCTACACGGAATTTAAGAGCAAGATACTCGCAAGCAAAGTGCCTGAGAACGGCTTTTGTACGGTCTACCGCTGTGGTCACTTGATTGACCCATGCCGTGGTCCACATTTACCCGACACCGGCCGTGTAAAGGCGTTTGCCGTGACAAAGAACTCCTCTTCTTACTTTGAAGGGAAGGCGGAAAATGCGGTGCTGCAGCGCGTGTATGGCATTTCCTTCCCGAAGCAGACGATGTTGACAGAATGGAAGGCACTGCAAGCGGAGGCTGCACGGCGTGATCATCGGAACATTGGCAGGCAACAGCAACTTTTCGGCTTTCACGAGGTGTCGCCCGGCAGCGCCTTTTGGCTTCCACACGGCGCTCGTATTTACAACGCGCTGGTGGAGTTTCAGCGCAAACAGTACCGCCGCCGCGGCTTTGAGGAGGTTGTTTCGCCCAACATGTTTTCCTCCAAACTTTGGATGGTCTCGGGCCACTGGGACAAGTATGCAGACAACATGTTCCGCATCGTTGTGGAGAAGGAGGATCATGGGATGAAGCCAATGAACTGTCCCGGTCACTGCATCATGTACGCCATGCAGCAACACTCATACAAGGAATTACCGATTCGTTACGCCGACTTTGGTGTTCTGCACCGCAACGAATTAAGTGGCGCCCTCACGGGACTCACGCGTGTGCGGCGATTCCAACAGGACGATGCCCACATTTTCTGTCGCATGGATCAGGTGCAGGAGGAGATTCGGGGCGCACTCGTCTTTTTGGATGATGTTTACCGCACGCTTGGGTTTAAATTCTTCCTCAAGCACGCCACACGCCCTGAAAACAAACTTGGGACGGAAGAGATGTGGGACCAGGCAGAGGCGTACCTCCGTGCGGCACTCAACAGTTTCTGCGGCATTCCAGAGCACTTGCCGGATCCTTTTAAGGAGGGTGCCACCTTTACGTTTGATGGACGCAGGGACACCGTCAAGAAGCTCCGTGCGCTTCTCAAGAAGCAGGCGGCCAACCGTGAGAACAAAGACACAGAGAAGAAGGAGGAGAAGGATGACGAGTGGAAGGGGCCAACACATGCCGAAGCGTGGGAGGAAAATACCGGCGATGGTGCGTTCTACGGTCCAAAGATAGACATCGTCGTGGAGGACGCGCTGCGGCGTCGTCACCAATGCGCCACCGTTCAATTGGACTTCAATTTGCCACAACGCTTTGGGCTTAAGTACACACTCCCGACTTCGACCGTTGAGGGTGGTGCGGGGGCGGAGGCGAAGGAACATCATACCGACCCCAACGCCCCCAACGTGGGGACGGACGCCACGACGACAGAGGGAAAACCTGAAGCGGGAGATGAGTGCCTTTCATCGTACGAGAAGGCCGCAAGGGAACTTTGCATCGACCGCCGTCTGGATGCGAACCAGGCACGTCCAGTTATGATTCATCGCGCCATTTTTGGCTCGCTTGAGCGCTGTATCGCTATTTTGTGCGAGCACTACGGCGGCGAGTGGCCGCTGTGGCTCAGTCCACGGCAGGTGATTGTTATCCCCGTGTCTGCTGAAAACACCGCATACGCCACGAAAGTGCGGGACGCATTTTACGCCGATGGCTTTCACGCTGATGTTGACAGCGGCAACGCGACATTGGACAAGAAGATTCGTAACGCAGAGGTGGCACGGTACAACTTTATTTTTGTTGTCGGTCAGGTGGAAGAAGAGGCACAGACGGTTAACGTCCGCACCCGCGACAATCGCCGGCACGGTACAAAGTCACTGGCAGAAGTCCAGCGGTGGTTACGCGAGCTCGTTGACACCTACGACTTGAAATACTGAGCACATTTACCACATTGTCCAATATCTTTGCCCCCCCTCTCCTTTTTTTTTTTTTCTTTCTTTCTATCAATATATCAATATATCTATATGTTTGTTTGTTTGTTTCTGTGTAAGTGCGTGCGTGTGGAAGGGGTGAATTAAGCGACACACACGGTTCGTGTTGGTTTCTTAAACGTGGCAGAGAGGGAGGGAGGGGTGGGAGGGAATCCCAATAAATAAATAAATAAATAAAAAAAAAAAAAGAGGTGGGAAATTCTGGTTTTTCTTTTGCCTTCATATATTTATTTATATGTCTTGTAAAATGTGTGAGCGGAGATGTCAATAGAAACAAACAAACAAAACCAAAAACCAAAAAACAAAAAAAAAAAAAAAGAAAATTGAAGTAAAAAACAAAAAACAACAACAAAACGTAGTGACAAAACGACAAGGAAAAACGGACGGTATGTGTTTTTGTTTGAGCGCTTGCGCATAAGGATTACTCGCTTACAAACTTATTTATATATAAAAGATGATGCAACGAACACACACACACACAGAGGCAGAGAGAGAGAGAGAGAGAGAGAGAGAGAGAGAGAGAGAGAGGGAGAGAGAGAGAAAGCATTGTTCAGATGTGTGTGGGTGGGTGTAGGGGGAGAATGAATGAATGAATGAAGAGAGGAGGAGGAGGAAGAGAGGGAGTTTTATTACAACGTCCGACGTGTGCCATATATATTCGGGTCGCAATGATTTGACTCGTCGCTTTCTTTGTTGCCACCTGCGCACTCTCCTGGCAATGCCGGAAACATCATCGTGGTACGCCAGGGTCCATTACACACACGCACCCGTATCACCCAATGGGGGAAAAGCCAATAGCCGGTAATGTTTCCTTCATGGAATTGTTGTCATTGGCGCAAAACACACACACACACACACACACCGGACCAGCCGCGTATGACTGAGTCTCACAGTTGTAACACCATAAGGTCTGTGTCTGTATGGTGGGGTGTTGAGTGGGGTAAGTGGGGGAATGCACATGTTACCGTCCCGTCTGCAGCAGCACCATCTGCAGCAATGCTGAAGAAAACACGGGGAAAAAAGAACGGACCACACGAAAAAAGGAAGAAGAATATATTTTTATGTATATTTTTGCATGTACGCAATTGTACCAGTGGAGGGTTGGGAGGGTGGGATAATTTCCCGGAGTTGCCCTCTTTCTTTCGCTTTCTTCCTCTTTCTCTCTTCCTTCTTTTTTTTTTTTTTTTTTGATTGTTCGGGGCGACGTTTTAACAATTTTTTATGTTTGTTGTTGTTGTTGTTGTATTTTTATGTGGGCGGGTGGGGGGCTACCAGTCAAATTTCCTCCTCGTTCCCCATCCATCCATCTCTCTCTCTCTCTGTGTGTTTGTGTTTTCCCTCCTGCCACTTCTCCTCCCCTCAGCAGTACCACTTAATATTATCATTATTGTTGTTGTATTTCGTACTACTGCTGCCACACCTACTACAACCACCACTACCACCGCTGTTGTTGCTGTTGTTGTTTTTGTGCGCGGTGGCAAAGAAAAAAGAAAAGAAAAGAGATCAACCAACAACAGCAAAAGGGCGTATTGTTATTATTATTAGTAGTAGTGGTAGTAGGACTCATTTCTAGTAGCGGTGGCTGAGGAATCGAGGCGAGGGGGCTGCGCTCCGACACATCCGTCTGCAATTGTCACCAGCGGCAGGAGACGAGGAGGATAAGTCGAGGACTCATTTAATTTAATTTGATTTAATTTGTTTTTGAATACACGGCCAGTCACTGCCGGTGTGTTGGTTTTAACAAGAAAAGAGGAGGAAGTAGCACCACCACCACTACCACACACACACACAAAAAAAAAAAAAACAGGGACAGACAAATGGACTGCAGCACCGGCGCGGCGATTGGGCAGCAGTTTGCGAAGGATGCGTTCCACATGCATGGCGGTGTTGGCGTGGGCCCAACCGGCAACTCCGAGCATGACGTTCTCATAAACGAAATGATGATGGTGCAGACGCCGACAGGGCCGGCAGGCGAATGGACCCACCAGTTCGCAGCGTACCAGGGACAACAACAACAACAACAACAACAGCATCCACAAGAGTTGGCCATGCGGCATCAGCAAAACGATGCCTTTATGCTTCGCCAGCAGCAGGAAATGGAGGAGGCATTTTGCACCTTTTGCACGACGCATCCGCATTCACATGCGCACTCACATGCGCATTCACATGCGCATTCACATCAACCGCAAGGGCTGGTTGGGCCCGCTATGATGGGGCCACAAATAATGCCACCGATGATGTTTGGTCCAGGGACCGGCGGCTTTATGATGGGCGCACCGCCTATGATGCCGTACGCCTCGATGAAATTTGCAGGGGATGCGGCAATGGCGGCTGCAAACAACACAACCATGACACAGGGGGCCACAGCAACAAGTACCACGTCCGTGCAACAGGAGCTGCAGCAGCAGAGCAGCGACAATGGATGGGTGGAGAAGTTGCGTGATGCGGAGTGGGCACAGGATTACAGCGATGCGCAGGTCTTCACGCTTGAGGGTCAGTCGGAGCAGACGATGGAGGAGCATGCAAAGAACTCCGAGTTCTACCAGTTTATGGACAAAATCCGCAGCAAGGAACTGCTTATTGATGAGGAGACGGGTCAGTTGGTGCAGGGCCCAGGACCCGATCCGGATGCTCCTGAGGATGCGGAGTACTTGAAGGAGTGGGCCGCCGCAGAAGGGCTGAACATGCCGCCGGGTTTCTTTGAGCACATGGTGCAACGTCCACAAGGAAATAACGAACAAGCGGAGGGTCGTTTATTTGACGGTAGCAACGATGCTCTGATGGACGATGGTGCCCTTGACAACGCGGCGGATGTGGAAGAATGGGCAAAAGAGTACGCCGAGGCACAAGAGCAGTTGCAGCGCGTCCAAAACGAAACGAATTATCCCTTTGAGCCCAACAACCCGTACATGTACCACGACAAACCCATGGAGGAAGGGATTGCAATGTTGCAGTTGGCGAACATGGCGGAGGCCGCCTTGGCCTTTGAGGCGGTGTGCCAAAAGGAACCGGAAAATGTGGAGGCTTGGCGGCGTCTGGGCACAACGCAGGCCGAAAATGAAAAGGACTGCCTTGCAATCATTGCGCTGAACCACGCCCGCATGTTGGATCCAAAAGACGTCGCCGTTCACGCAGCGCTTGCGGTCTCGCACACAAACGAGCACAATGTGGGGGCGGCGCTGCAATCTCTGCGGTCGTGGCTGCTGTCCCAGCCGCAGTACGAGCACCTTGGTTTAGTGGACCTGCAGGAGGTGGCTGCCGATGAAGGATTGGACGAGGTGCCGGAAGAAAATTACTTTTTTGCCGCTCCAAGCGAGTACCGCGACTGCTGCACACTTTTGTACGCCGCGGTGGAGATGAACCCAAATGACCCGCAGCTGCATGCCAGCCTCGGTGTGCTGCACAACCTCTCGCATCGCTTTGACGAGGCCGCCAAGAACTTCCGTCGTGCCGTCGAGTTGCGCCCAGACGACGCGCATATGTGGAACAAACTCGGTGCGACACTCGCCAACGGTAACAGGCCACAGGAGGCACTTGAGGCGTACAACCGTGCACTTGACATTAACCCGGGTTACGTGCGCGTCATGTACAACATGGCGGTATCCTACTCGAACATGGCGCAGTACCCGCTTGCTGCAAAACACATCACACGGGCCATCGCTCTGCAGGCCGGGGGCACAAACCCGCAGGGCGAAGGTTCTCGGATCGCAACACGCGGTTTGTGGGATCTGCTTCGCATGACGCTGAACCTCATGGACCGTAGCGACCTTGTTGAGGCCTCATGGCAGCAGGACTTGACACCCTTCTTGAAGGAGTTTGGGCTGGAGGAAATGGCGGTGTAACGACGCCGGGGGGCAATAAAGCGGAAGGTACACCGCACGCAACAACAACAACAACAACAACAACAAATAAAATGTGAACAGGATTGCTTTTCAAGGTGAAAGTAGAGGAATATATAGTATACATAAGTGTGTGAGGAACATTGAGACAAAAAACAACCACAGCAATTTGGACGGCGATGAAATAGGTGGGAGCTAAGAAGGGATGACTGCACAAATGGGTGAGTGTGTGTGGAGGGGAATTATTTTACTTCTCACAGTTGCCGCAGAATAAACGAAATTTTTCTTTATTTTGACTCCGCCGGGCTCTTGTGGCGTATCCGGCGCCAGGGGAGGGCATACGTGACATTGTCATGCGCGTTACACGTCGAGTTGTCCCGCAGGCCACTTTTACACTGTTTTTTCCGTGACCACCTTCCTCCCATTTTTCTTTTTTTCCTTTTCTACCTGTTCCTTTCTTTTGCTGCGTCCTCCTGCTTCCGGCAAAAGGGACCAAACAGACAGTCAGAAAAAAAAAATAAAAAAGGGGCAATGGGAAAGACTGTGCTCACCTGCCGTAAGGGCAACGGGTCCGTCTACCAGCTGCACGGCCACAAGCGTCTCGGTCCCGCGAAGCTCCGCATTCTTGACTACGCCGAGCGTCATGGTTTTATGCGTGGTGTGGTCAAGACGATTGAGCATGAGCCCGGCCGTGGTGCCCCGCTCGCCCGCGTGGAATTCCGGCATCCGTACAAGTACCGCCGCGTGAAGGAGCTGATGGTGGCGCCGGAGGGCATGTTCACTGGACAGTCTGTCCTCTGCGGCGTGAAGGCACCACTCGCCATTGGCAATGTGCTGCCTCTTGGCCAAATCACGGAGGGCTGCATCGTCTGCAACGTGGAGGCGAAGGTCGGCGACCGCGGCACCATTGCACGTGCCTCGGGCGACTACTGCATCATCATCTCGCACAACCACGAGACGGGCCGCACACGCCTGAAGCTGCCAAGCGGGCAGAAGAAGACCGTTCCCAGTAACTGCCGCGCCATGATTGGTATCATTGCTGGCGGTGGCCGTATTGAGAAGCCGGTGCTGAAGGCCGGTAACTCCTTTTACCGCTTCCGTGGAAAGCGTAACTGCTGGCCCAAGGTGCGTGGTGTTGCCCGCAACCCAGTGGAGCACCCGCACGGTGGTGGTAACCATCAGCACATTGGCCACCCGTCGACCGTCTCACGTCACGCACCGCCAGGCCAGAAGGTCGGCCTGATCGCCGCCCGCCGCACCGGACGTATTCGCGGTAGCAGGGCCGTTAAGGGCGCATGGCATCCTGAGGAGTAAAAAGAAATACGAAAGGACGAATCCTGTTGAGGAGCGAAGCAAAAGGGCAACCATGCACATCTCTCTCTCTCTCTTTATATATATATATATATATACGGAGAAAAAGGATGTGTCTCTGTGTGTCTGTGATCCCAGATTATTATTATTATTTTTTTGATTTATGATATAAATATATATATCCATATATATTTACTTTAATCCCCCATCCTTTTTTGTTGGTTGTTGTTTTGGGTAATAATAATCAGGCGGCATTAAGTGACAGCGTGTACCGGTCTACGTTGTTACTTATTGCCACGGGTTTGCCATTTCTCTGCCTGCACACATGCGCCTTGTAATGTGACGTTTATTACATTGACATCTTTTCCTTTTTTTTTTTTTTTTTCTTCTTTTTCATTATTATTACCTTTCCCTAATAATCCCCCCCTTTACATTCACGTCATTATGGCATGATCATCCTGGGGCCTGTTATTTTATTTTATTTTTAATTGCACATATTCGGCCTTTATCAAGTCAAATCATTGCAGTTTTTGTGGAAGTGTTGCTGCTGACACGGCGGAAGGAAAAGAAGGGAAGTGTGTGTGTGTGTGTGTGTGGCGTACGCACTCTTGAAGTAATTTGCTGAGGAGGGGGAGACGGGAGCGTTTTTATCGGCGTAGAAACAACAACAACAACAACAACACAAAACAAAAGGTTCAACAGGAAGGATTTATTCTTAAAAAAAAAAAAAAAAACGAAAGAAAAAAAGAAAAAAGTACAAAACAACAACAAAAAAAGGGCAAGTCGTGAAGGGGGCGGGAGAAGAAAGAAGCATCCAGAGGGACATTTGACAGCACCGCCGACGCTGTCGCTGGGGAAGGCTGAAGTGGACAGACCCACGAGGTTTATTGTTCGTTGGCAGTCATCTCCCTTTCTGCTTACATATATATATATATAGTTCTGTATATATATACAGTGGGATATATTTATCGTGAAGTTACGAACGAAGAGAAGAGGTTGCGGGCGGAGGCAAATATATATTATATACATATATACACATATATATATAAAACAAACAAACAAACAACTACAAAACAACAACAACAACAACAACAACAACAACAGGGAATCCTCTAGTTGAATGAAAAGGAAAGTACGCCGTCCTGTTCGGAGACCCCGGCATGTTGGCTTGTCGCTGCCAAAGCTGGCGAATCCCGTACAGGAGACGGAAACAGATGACGAGGATGGCAATGCGCCGTTGGGCACATCGTTCTCACCGTCGCTTCAGGCGCAACAATCCGTGAGGCTTGCCAGCACAAGTTTTAAATTTTCCCGTGCCGTATCACTGAGCCGCAGCAACACGAGCGCAACGGAGAATATTGAGGGTGAATTGTGGTACGTGACATCAAACATGGGACCAGGGAAGCGCGCCACATTGGCGATGCAATGGGTGACGTGCGACGATCACAAACTGACGGTTTCAAGCGGCTGGAGCGAACGGGGTCGTATAATAGACATGATGCAATTTGATGGGATTCGTGTCATATTTAGTTTTTCCCACGTGCACGAGCACTTTGCCTCCTCGCGTCAGGCTCCAATAACGAGAATTGTGCGGCGGGACGATAACGGCAACTCCATTTATGTAAACGTCTGCAAAAAAGATAAAGAGTACAGTAGAAACGATTATCAGCCACCACGGAGAGCCATGCGAGAATTCCGCCTTTGTGAAGGGAAGCTAAGGCCACGGTACTACTACTTTGGCATTGAGTTCAGTGAACATCGGGATAACACCGGCGCACCCCGCAGACGGCAGCGACGACTGATTATTTTCGCAACGGACATAAAAAGTGACCAGCAGGCGTGGTTGGATTACTTCGCGTCGCTGGGGGATCTCAAGTGCCGTTCCATTTCAAGAACAAGTAATACCCACGGCTGTTTTTCCGTGCAGGACGAGTCGCATTGTCAGAGCTTGCAGGAGCCACAAAGTGTGGGGCGCCTGAACCTCGAGGAAAGGGACTGGGGCTCCTCTCGGTCATACGAGCCGCTCGAGTTTGCTGCCACGGGACGCCCCGGCAGTGAGTCTTCCCCTTTTCTGGTGGATTTTGATGAACTTTCGGAGTCCCACGCATCCGCTTTCCCTCGTTCCCGCCACAATGAACAGTTGAGGAATTATTTAATCGCTCAACTGACAGATGAGGAAACACGTTTGCGTAAGACACTCTTCGTGGAAGAGGAAAACGACAGACGACGACTGTGCGCCGTTCGACAAGCGTTGCTTTTAGCATTTAGAGAGAATAATTCATTCTCCGCATGGACATCCACGCGACTGGCCAAGACGGGTACAACCGATGATGCCACACTCGCAGCATGCGGCTTATTTTTTCCTCAGTGCGAAGAGGTCTCACCGGAAACAAGTCAGTGTGAGGAGTTTATAACTGACACTATCAAAATGCTACAACGAACAATAACCGAGAAAAACAATCATATAAATGATATAAAAAAAGAGCTGGAAGAGTTACGAAGGCAATTAACTGTTGACAAAAACAAAATCCAAACGTTAGAAGAGAAACAACGTACAAATGTATGCAACAAAGATGTAAATGGAAAAAAGGGAAACAAGGAAGCAACAACGCCTCCAAATAAGCCAGGGGGCCAAGAAGCAGACGACCGTGTGCGGCATCTTATTGGTACTGTGCAGGAACTAAAAGAGCGGCTTCGGGCGACCGAACTTGCCCGCACCGTCTTAGAAAAACAGAACGAACGCCGACGCCGTGAGCTGGAGGAGCAACTGGCGCAGCTGGGCACCGAGAGGGATGCGTTGGCGGAGCGTGTGCGTGAGCTAGACACGCGACTGGGCAGTGCGACCGTCTCTCTGCATGACGCGGAGCATGAGTGCGAATTGGTGGCCGGGCTGCTTGGAGTTCCGACGGTGGAGGCCGGTCGTGAAAGCGATGCATCCGTTGCGGGCCGCCTACGGTGCGTCTCTGGCGCTGTGCGTGAGCTGGGGGAGCAGAACGAGCGCCGACGCCGTGAGCTGGAGGAGCAACTGGCGCAGCTGGGCACCGAGAGGGATGCGTTGGCGGAGCGTGTGCGTGAGCTAGACACGCGACTGGGCAGTGCGACCGTCTCTCTGCATGACGCGGAGCATGAGTGCGAATTGGTGGCCGGGCTGCTTGGAGTTCCGACGGTGGAGGCCGGCCGTGAAAGCGATGCATCCGTTGCGGGCCGCCTACGGTGCGTCTCTGGCGCTGTGCGTGAGCTGGGGGAGCAGAACGAGCGCCGACGCCGTGAGCTGGAGGAGCAACTGGCGCAGCTGGGCACCGAGAGGGATGCGTTGGCGGAGCGTGTGCGTGAGCTAGACACGCGACTGGGCAGTGCGACCGTCTCTCTGCATGACGCGGAGCATGAGTGCGAATTGGTGGCCGGGCTGCTTGGAGTTCCGACGGTGGAGGCCGGCCGTGAGAGCGATGCATCCGTTGCGGGCCGCCTACGGTGCGTCTCTGGCGCTGTGCGTGAGCTGGGGGAGCAGAACGCGCATCAACGCCTTGAGTTGGCTGAAGCGGAGTCCCGTCGTGTGCTTGAGCTGGAGTTTGTTCATATCTTTTCTTCGCTCTTTGTTGATGAACGTAATGCATTGCGTAGTGAGTGTTTTAAGGTGTGTGCCGAGTTGGAAGAGTTGAAACGTTCGTTTTCGAAGATTTCTGTTTCCGTTAACGATGCTGTGGAGAAGTTGGGTTGTGCTCTGCATGGTGTATCGACGAGTAATAGCGGTGGAGATGTTTGCGTGTGTAGGGGTGTTGACGTTATTTCCTCTTCTAGTCTCGTGGATCCTGCTGCTGTTGGAGCGGTGGCGGTGAAGTTGGAGCGGCTGGCGTCTGTGTGGCACACGGTCGGCCAGGGTCAGTATGTGGCGTGTGCGCGTTATTATGAGGTGACATGTGAGTTGCTTCGAGATGTTTTTCAAGCGTTGGGCTTAGTGGCGCCTTCTTTTTCGTTCCATGCGCCGTTTGGCGCGAGGGAGGAGGCTCTGCAGGAGTTACTGACGTGGACGAGTACCCCGCAGGACTGCACGAATGTCGATGGGAATGGAGGGTTGTTGCTGGCGCGCTATGAAGAGACAATGGCAGCGGGAATACGTGCTGTGGAGACCGACGTGCTGCAGCGTGTGCGGCTTGCCGCGGATCGTATTTTGAGGGTGCGTCTTGCCTACGAAGCCGTTGGGAATGCGTTGGGGGATGGAAGTGTGCGAATGGCTACGGACACGAGTGACGGCGAGGACGACAGCGTCGTTGCGAAGATACGCGAATTGCATGTGTGCCTGACGGACTCGCTGGAGTCGCTTGTCGCATTTATCGGAGATGACACGGGAGGTGCGACGCGGCGGCTCCACGACGGTGTTTCGTTTGAAGCGATGGTCAAGGAACTGATGAAAGAATGTCGCAGTGCCTCGGCGGCATTTGTGGACATCACGTCACTGGTGCGAGATGGAGTGGAGGAGAAGGAAGAAGTCCCGGGCGGCGAAGCCACCACCACCACCACCACAAACAAAAAAAACAACCCTAAACCTCTTGTTTGCTGCTATGAGGACCTTGTGGTATGTGTGCGGCGCTCGTTGACGCGGGCTCGCGGTGAGCGGGAGAAAAACAAGCGTCTTTGCGAGGAACTACGTCGTGTACTCGCCACGACAACAGGTACGGTGAGCGTTGCGGCGCAGTCTTCGCTCCTTGGAGCTTGCCTGTCACATGCTGACGTTGCCACGGATAATATCAGCTCTTTTTCGGATTCGCTTGCCAGTCAGAAGGCGAAACAGTTGTTTTCTAAAGAGGAGTTGGTTGGTTCGGGAGATTCAGATTCGTGCCAGTCGCCGTTGGGGTCGCGGCATTCCTTTGAGATTGTGCACCAGGTGCGAAGCCACATCGCCTCTAAGGTGGCGGAGGTACAGGAGTTGCGCACAGCCGTCACGACGAGTGTGGAGAAGCTTGGCGGTACTGTGACCTCCCCCAGCGTCGCATCACACGTTATTGCCAACGCGTTGCTGGATGTTGTGCGGGAGACAAGCGCATCCATTGCAGACGTGCAAGCCCTTATCGATCCCGATGCCGCCGCGGTGCGCTCGGGCCCTCCGCGGCTACGCGACCTCGTTAGCTGCCTCCAGGTGAAGGTGGACGAGTGGGAGACGAGTATGCGGGAGGCGCGGGAACTCGTGAATTCCGTCATGAATGTGAATGACCCGAACTATTCTCTCGCCGCATCACCCGGTCGCTCACTCACGCGTAAATCGAAACCGAAGCCGGTGGTGGCGGGCAGAGGTGACGAGTCGCTCTCGCTTAACCGCACGTTCCCGGTGTCGTCTGAAAGTGGTTCTATCGGGCAACTCCCGGACGGGCGCAGTGTTGCCGATGCGTCCCCGCGGAAGAACCGTGCGTTTACCCCTTTTTCCAGCGAAGCGGAGGGTGGCGGGATGAGAGGCAAGTTTGTGCAGGACGCCGTTCTGGAAATACGCGCCAAACTCATCGGTATCCGACAGCTAACAAACGCATGCGCCACCGCCGTGTGTCTTATGGGCGGCGAGGAGGGTTTAGAGAGGCAGGCGCTCGATATACTGCCGGTGCAACTTCTGCAGCGGGCTCAGGAGGTGAACGAGGTGATTCAGTTGACGCAGGACGCCGTCTCTCTTCTTGACGGCACGGAGGGGGAAGTGGGGGGGACGGCTGGCGGTGTTGCCGCCAGTTCCTGTCCATCCATCCGTACACGTGTGCGGCGCCTCGTTGAGGGCATGAAGGCACTTAAGGACGAGAATGAATCGCTGCGGCTGCAGGAAATCGCCTCCCTGAAACAAAAGGCATTTCTTCTGCAGGACTTTGAAGCGATGCGGGATAAATTCGCAAGTCAAGAAAAGCGGCTCGGCGAAGAGTATCAAAAACTGTTAGGGGAATGCAATGAACTTCGCGGGACGATTGACCGTCGCATGCAAGAAATCCAGGAGCGGGACGACACACTTGCGAAGCAAGAGAGGCGGAATACCGAACTTGAGGAGGAGCGTGAGAGGCTCCATGCCGAGTGCGATCAGCTTCGGCGGCAGATAACGACATTACGTGTCACGCGGGACGATTTGCAGGTGTTGGAGGCGGGTCCGAAAGAGGCAGCCATCATTCTGCGAAGAGCGTCAGCGTTTTTGTACGGACGGCTCCAAAAAGCCATAAATCAAATATCAGCGGTTTCCTCTTCTTCCTCTTCCACCTCCACCTTGTGGACAGCGGCAGAGGAAAAAGTCACTGAGAATCATCTACAAGAAGATAAACCAGAGGGCATCGTAAAAGCACTTGATGTCAATGATGCGTCTGTTTCTGCAGCGCAGTTGATGGCAGAGAGCGGCCGCGAACTGCGTCGCTGCGGGCAGGCCATTCAGCAGATCGAGCTTCATTTAAGAACTGAGACGCAGCTGCGTCATTGGGTGCGGTGGGTTTGTGTGCGGACAAAGGAAGAAGTGGTTAGTGAGGAGGCAGCTGTGCGCACACTCCTGCGTGAGGCCTGTCGTAATGGAGCCGTGCTGCTGAGCGAAAAAATGCGGGTGTTGAAGGAGCGGGATGAAATGCGGTGCCTCCTGCAGCAGCGCCTTGAAGAGTTGCTGAGCAAACACGATGAGGAACGCGCGGCGTGGAAGCGACGTCTGCAGGATTTAAACGAGACACAACAGTTGCCCTTTTGCTCAAGTTCTGCGGCGAGTAATGTGGCAACAGTGAGGGAAGGTGCCTGTGAAGTGCAGCGGGAGGGCCCGAGAGCCCACAGTCGTCTCGAACAGTGGATAATTGAGAACACGACGGCGCCGTTGCCCAACGCGTCCCTGCAACGAGCAGCAGCAGCAGCAGCGGCAGCGGCGGCGGTGGTGGTGGAGAAGACGACGGAGATGTGCGGTGCCCCACTGGAGTGCGTACCGGCCGCCCTCGAGTTTATGCCGGCCGTTGGCGGCGACGGGGCGGCTGGCGAATGGCGACCGGAGGAACCGCTCTCCGACGGCGTGAAGTGTGTGCAAAAACTCGCAGAGGATCTTTCACGATGCCGAGTGCTTCTGCAGGAACAGTTATTGATGATGGGCGAAGACAACGACGATGATGTCTCGCGATCTGAAAAGCGACGGGATGACGGGGCGGATCAGAGAGCGTCCCTCTCCAGACTTATGGAGCGACACAAGAGTTCTCTGAAGAGACTTGTCTCTGAGCGTGCGGCGCTGCACGTTGCGTGGCAGACGGCACAAAGTGAAGTTTTGAGGCTTCACCGCGAACTGCATGAGGGCGAAGCGAGATATACGCGCGACACGGAGGAGGCGGGGCGCCGCATCGGCGATCTCCGCGCTATTGTGCAGCAGAAACTTGTCGCGGACGCGAAGACGGAGCGGGAAATGGAGGAGATCCAGTCGGTGATGGACCAGCACCTCGCTGTTCTTTACAGTTACGCCAAAGAAGAGGAGGCAGTGACACGTCACCTGCATGAGTTATGCCGGTTAATGCGATCCAAGACGAACGTCCAAAAACAACACGCCCGACTGCATTTTTAGTGGAACTTTTGGTCGGTGGTTGTGTTGGTGGCTGAAGTGTTTATGACAGTCTTTAATTTTATTATTATTATTATTTATTATTTATTATTATTTATTACTATTATTGCTTTTACTGTAGCTTTTATTGTAGCTTATTTTGTTTTATTTATTTATTTATTTATTTATTTTTATTGAAAAGTTGAATGCTGTACAGAATGTGGAATTGTATGTGGCACACGAGACATGTGCACAACCGCCAGCACGTTGAGTGCCTGCTCTTTCTCTTTGCCTGTATCCTCCATGTTCTGTTTTCTTTCTCTCTTCCTTGCAAACAATACCACCACCACTGCCACAACAGCAGCCAACGGGGAGGGGAGGCGGGGAAGGTGCAAGAAGGCAGCGCCAAAACACCCCATTGGAGGCAACGTAAAAGGGTGGCTCACGTTGCATTCACCATCTCCGGGCGGGGAAAATGTCAAATGTTGCGCCCGGGAGTAGAGAAAGCGCCCCCACACCAGCCATGACCATGACGGTTGCTGGCACATCATCACACCACCGAATTTGTTGGCTGCGGGTCATTCGTGTGGGGTCGTTTGCTTTTATTTTATTGGCGTTTGTCATGTTTGTTTTGGGGATGAGTGGAAAGAGTCATATAATTGTGCGGGTTAAAGGTTGGGACGAAGTTTTTGCAGTGGTTGGGACCTGTTGTTTCTTCCACCCCGCCACCGTCGTGTATCAATGGGCCTCTCGCATGCCGTGCATGGCGCGTCTGCAAGAGTCAAGGATAATTTTCTACGCGTTACAGTTTCTCTTGTCGTTGGCATACTTGGCGCAGCAGACGGTCTTAATGGCGTATCTTTTGCTGTATTTTGGTCCCTTCTGCTTGTTGTTTCTGATTTCTGATATCGCCGTCGCTGCAATGATGGCAATGACGATGCTACTGCAATCATTACCCATGCCAATTGCGCGACACTGGCCGGCATTCTACGTCCTGGGTCAGTCAGGGAAGTTGGTGGTGTTGTGGTCCGCGCTGGGGGAGCCGATGGTGGCTGCACCACGAATGGGGGTCAATGGCCTCCTGGGAACTTTGATGCTCACTATACCCGTGGTACAATTCCCGGTGCTTATTTCACGACTTCGTGTAGGGATGTCGTTGACGAAGGCGTATACTACAAACATGGCAGCTGTTTTTGCTCACGTGCTGCATTTCATGGATGTGCTTGAGCTTTACTTCACTGGAGTGGAGGTGCGACAGTTCTCAGGCAATGTAAAGCTGCTTGTGCTCTTTTTTGCCGTCATGGGTCATATCACATGCAACCTGTATTACGCCTCACTGTTCTTTAAAGACGAGGAAACCGTGCGGTTTCTACGTCGCTTTGAGGAGCCAAGGGGGGACGCCGCCGATTTGATCGCCCGTACGGAGCAGGTCAGAGACGACGAATTGTTCCACTACTTTCTTTGGACATTCTTTTTTATCGACCTCCTGTACGCCGTGATGCGGTTGGTGCTATTTGTTGTCAACGGGACAGATGTGTCTGTCTTTTTGGGGAAGAATTTCATGATGGTTGTTGGTGTCGTTATGCTGTTGGTGCGGGCTAGCAGGCCGTAGGATGATGACGCCCTCTCCCCTTTTTTTGTTTCCTCCCCCCCCCCTCCCTTCCCAATCAGTGGAGACATGGGGCGGGCTCTCATCTTTTTTCCGTCTTTTTTTTTTCTTTTTTTTTTTTTTTTTTTTTTGTGTGTGTGTGTGTGTGTGTTTGTGTTTCCCTTCCACTTCTTCCACTCATTTTTTTATTTTTTTATTTTTATTTTTTTTCTCTACACCTTAGCCAATACCGTCTGCTGCCGTCGAATTTCCTCCTTCCCTCTCCCGTTGTGGGCTACGCATCCAATGCCTTTTTTTATTTCTATTTTTTACCTTTCCTTATCCGCGGTTTATTTTCATTGTTATTCGATGAACAATGTGGGTTCTTTTTTTTTTTTTTTTTTTTTTTCTTTCTTGTCTCTGCCTCCTTTTTGCGCTCTCAAAACGAAAAATTAAAGGAAAAGCACACAGAAAAAGGCAGATATTTGCGCGTGTTTGTTTGTTTGAGTGCCCTAACTGCTGCTGGAATGTCCACCTACCGGGACCGACTGGTGGCTTTCTACGAGAAGTATGCACCCCGCAAGGTGGGGCAGGTGGACGCACAGCTGGAGAAGTACGCCGGACGTGAGGAGGACTTCTTTTCTGCGCTTGTGCAGAAGTACGGTCCCGAGCCGGGGAATGCTGCCGGTACACCTGCAGCCAGCAGAGGTGCCAGCCCCGCTCTCAGTGAATCCGCCACTCCCACCACAATGGACAGAATGTCCACCTACCGGGACCGACTGGTGGCTTTCTACGAGAAGTATGCACCCCGCAAGGTGGGGCAGGTGGACGCACAGCTGGAGAAGTACGCCGGACGTGAGGAGGACTTCTTTTCTGCGCTTGTGCAGAAGTACGGTCCCGAGCCGGGGAATGCTGCCGGTACACCTGCAGCCAGCAGAGGTGCCAGCCCCGCTCTCAGTGAATCCGCCACTCCCACCACAATGGACAGAATGTCCACCTACCGGGACCGACTGGTGGCTTTCTACGAGAAGTATGCACCCCGCAAGGTGGGGCAGGTGGACGCACAGCTGGAGAAGTACGCCGGACGTGAGGAGGACTTCTTTGCTGCGCTTGTGCAGAAGTACGGTCCCGAGCCGGGGAATGCTGCCGGTACACCTGCAGCCAGCAGAGGTGCCAGCCCTGCTCTCAGTGAATCCGCCACTCCTGCTGTGGCCGGTGCTGCAGAGAAGAATTCGCTTGCGGATCATCATCAGCCAACTTCTTCTGAGGCCATTAAAAACACCGTGGCTCAGAAGGTGGACGCCAATGCCAGAAATATCTCTGACGAGGACCGACGGGAGCGTTTGCGAGCCCTTGCCGCTCAACTGGGTGTTGCAGTTGAAAGCGACGATCCGCTTCAGGTTCTTTCTGCTCTTGTGGACGCGAGAAGAGGCCGGAATTTTGGGACGACGTCTCCGGTACGGGACGCTGATGCGCGGGTGTGTCGGGTGTTGAATGAGTCTATGTATGCACCATCCACATCACGACTCACGGCAAGTGTGAAAGCCATGATGATGATGGATTCACGTTCCCCGACGGATCTGTCGGTAATGCTTGACGCTGTAAACGAGGAGGAGGCAGAGTCTCGCACGACCCTGGAACTTTTGGCGGCAGATGACTTTGACATTCTTTTGGCGGCGCAGCGGCGAGCATTGAGAAGTGTGGGGCGTGACGGTGCTCTGTCATCTCTCCGCGCTTCTGCGGAAGCGGCGTTACTGCAACGAGTATGGCGGGGGTGGCATGACACCGCCGCCGACTACGTTAAGCAGGCGATGCACGGCCGGCATCATCACAGGACGCGGTATCAGAAGATGCTTTTCAGCAAGTCGGTAGCCATGTATTATGATCGAATCGCACGCTCCAAGCGCCAGCAGGAGCGACGGAGGCGACAAATGGACGCCGCGAATGCCCAGGCCAACGCGATGCGACGGCGCCGATTGCGGGAAACCATCGCGGAACACGGCAACCTCGTGAATCGAAATATTCGCGCCGTGCTGCTTCGACAGTCACCGGGGGCCCACAACAACCGCGACACGCCGGAAACACCGGAGCAGAGCCCTGACGCGGTGTTTACGCATGGCAAGGCGGAGCCGCAAAGGACCCACTCGCAGCGCCTCGCTCAGTCACCCTATTGGCATGGCGACTCGGCCAATCATCACGGCAGCGGTGATCGAAGAAACAACCGCAGCTTGTCCTTTTACAGTTACGGCAATCGCAGCGCGCGCTTACTTGCAATTGAGAAAGATTTTGACCGTCTACCGTCAGATGCACGTGCCCGCGTCGTGCGGCGGCTACAGAAGTGGGATATTCTGCCCAAATCGCCCACACAGCACTTTTCAAGGGGTTTCCCTCATCTCCAGAGCATGCGGGAGCGCGGGGAGCAGCTGGCACGGCGGCTGGACACACTTGATGCGTTTGCCGCGGTGGCAGATGAGGAGGACACGCCCCCACAGTGGTGGAAGAGCGAGACAGAGTTGAGGCAGTACTTGGCTCGCGTTCTCATTGACGCGTTTGACGCAGAGGAACGAGAGATGCTTGGGCTGCCATATGAGGTATTATGAGAATTACTAGTAACGTTTTAGCAAGCCATTTATTTTTAATTTTTTGTTTCTTTTTTTTTTATTCTACTGAATTTCCGTTTTTTTGCCTCTCTTTCTCTCTCTCTCTCTCTGTGTGTGCGTGTGTGTTTGTGTAGGTCGTTGTGTTTTTTTTTTTTTTTTTACCTCTTATCGGTTTCTGCCTTGCCAGCTGTACGAGTGAAAAACAATTTTACAAAAAAAGAAAAATGGGTGGGTGGATGCATGCATGCATGTGTGGCTGTGGCTGTGGCTGTGGCTGTGGCTGTGGCTGTGGCTGTGGGATGCAGCAGTCGACTGCCGTATTAAAAGTAAATAAATAAATAAAATATTTCCTTTTTTTTTTTCATTTTTTTTTTTTCATGACAACGAACCATCTATCTATCTACATGTATGTATACATATATATATATATCTGTGTCTCCGTGTCAGTGAATTGCGCATCGGAGAGAGAAACAAACAAAAAGGAAGAATAAAAGGAAAGCGTGAGCAGAAAAATATCCCCAAAACAAACAATCAAACAAACAACCCTAACCCTAACCCAACCAAATATATATCAAAAAATGATGGTCCACGCAGAAACCGTAGAGGAGGCACCGGCGAAGACGCTCCATAAAGTGCGACATTTCACGCCAAGTGTTGTGATGGCCGATGTTGCGACGGCGTTGGTTGTTGGTGCCGCCGCCGCCGTTCCCATTTCCATTGTTGACTACAGCATCATGGCGCGGGTGGCAGGTGTCACAGACAGTAGCCTCCGCGAACTCTGGCGGGGCACGAAGACATTATTTTTACGCCCTCATCGTTTCTTTTTGCCATGTGCAGAGAATAAGTGCAGCCTGGTATTTGCTGTGTGTTTTGTGGTCTACACCAGCACATATATTGGCTCTAACACTATGAAGAGTTACTGTGAGGCCAAAGGCTGCACCCCGGAGTCTGCCAACTTTGCCGCTGGTATCATGAGTGGTGTGGCTAACACCATCACAACTGTATGGAAGGATGGTATTATTCTTCGCTCCCTACCACCTGTGAATGCGGAAATGTTAGCCAACTCAAAGAAACCCGTGCCGTGGTTAACCCGTGGGCTGTTTTGTACCCGTGACACACTCACCTGCCTTGCCGCCTTTACTATCGCCCCAATGGTGGCAAATTGGCTCTCGCGGCATTGCTGGAATCCGGCTGAGAACGCAAAGAAGAAGTTGCCTGAGCCGGTGGAGGGAAAAGTGAAGATTCCACTGCCTACAGCAGACATGGCGCAGCTGCTCACACCCGCAGCCTTGCAGTTTGCAACAACGCTGTTGCACATTACTGCCATCCGCTATCATCAGACGTACCCGAAATTTAGTATGGGAGATTTGCAGTCCAGTCTGCGGGACACTTACTTATCCTCCACGATGTTGCGTGTCGTCCGTATTCTGCCTTCATTTGGAGTCGGTGCGATTCTTAACCGTGAACTCCGCTCGGATTTACTCGACCGTGCGGAAGGCCCTACCGCTTGATCATCATAAATATAAATATAAATATAAATATATTTATTTATACATGCATGCATGCATCTATCCATCTATCCATCTAGAGAGAGAGAGAGAGAGAGAAGGAGATACACAAATATTTTCATGTATAAATAAATAAATAAATAAATAAATGTTTTATATAAAAAAAAAAAAAAAAAAAGCAAAAACGAAAGGAGAGGAAGGGCGGGGGGGAGAAAGAACAGAATATTAATATTAATAATAGTAATAATAAAGGAAAGAGAGAAAGAAGAGAGGTGCAAATTCGAAACGTAGACAAAAACAAACAAAAACAAACAAAAAATGAAACGACCGGAAAATAAAATAAAACAAAATAAAAAAAAAAGAAGGAGGAGGAGGAATACACTCCACTGCATGTATGCACATAAAATACATATCTATCCGTATGCATGGGCGGGGGGGGGGGGGGGGGGAGACGCATGACATGACATGGCAGTAGCGGCAGCGGCAGCGGCTACAGCGCCCAATGGAAACAAAAAACAACAACAACAAAAAAAAGGGAAGCGAAAAATTGTTGTGGTCCTTTTTTTTTTTTTTTTTTTCTTCTGTTTTTAAATTTTAATTTTATTCATTTTTGATGGTGTTTGTTTTTTTTTTTTTTTTTTAAATTCTTCGTGTTGTTGTTGTTTTTGATGGATGATTTTTTTGTAATTTCATTTAATTGTGGGCGGCGATGGATACGCGGGCGGCTTTTTTTTTTTTTTTAGAGGACTGCGCGGAATATGCCCCTCCCCACTCCCAACTCCACTCCCCTCCACTCCCGCACACACACAAAAAAAAAAAATAAAAGGTGGGGGAAAAAAAACAAAAAAAAAAAAACAACAAAACAAAAATAAATGACTGAAAAGGGAAGAGAAGAGAGAAAAGGGGGAAAACAAAAACAACAACAACAACAACAACGAGAAGAAGAAGGAGAAGAAGTAACAAGACATAAATAAATATATTTCTTTTTTTTTTTCTTCTATTTTTCTTTGTGTGATTGTTTCTCTCTCTCTCTCTCTCTGTGTGTGTGTGTGTGCATGGACTTCAGTGCGTGTGTTTCTCTCCCTCGCATTTGTTGGGTCATTTTATATTTCTCCCCTCCCCCTTTCCACCGCTCACGGTTGTGTCACCACTTGCACTGCGAGCGGTGTGTGTGTCTCTGTGTCTCTGTGTGTGTGTGTGTGTGCTGTGGAGGAGTAAACCAAACGACACGCCTT